TATTAGCTCATGAAATACAAAAGTTCCATGCAAACTGTGAAGTTCTTCTAGGAAACAGAAACTCTTTTTTACGGAAGACATTTGGACACATACAAATAAGTTGAATATAAGGAGCTTTTAGTCAGTCCACTTAAAAGTTGCTCCAGGCCTTTCCTAGGGCTTCTGGGTGCACATCTTTCACATTTTCTCCTGTGAACTCCTTAAAGCAGTGTATTTAGATTCCTATGTAGAACTGGACTGTATAAGCTGGAAGTGTTCATCATATTGTTTGGTATACCTCAGCAAAGCTGGTGCCCTGCTCTTACCCCCTCCCAGAAAATTGAACACTAGACCCCAAAAGCTCTCTCATATGTCCTGTCAGAGGAATGGGAAGCAGACTTGATAGTAGGACATGGCTATGTGGAGTGAGAAATAACCTGTTACATCTGGAAGGTACTTTCAGTAAAGCTGTATTTGGAACTTCGATACTGAGGTTTCTGGTCAGTTAAAATCATTTGAGGACCTTCATCTAAAGAGCTCCATGCAGAGGCATGGATTTTGTAGTCAAGCAAAAGGCTGGAGTTTTTAGGACATCTGAATTTCCCATCCTTTCAGAAACCTCCATGACTTGGGATTGGGAATATTTATGTCCTATCTGGGCAGCCTCGATGGTTGAGGTTTGAGAGTAAATTTGGGCGCTGGAGTGGCTGAAAGTCGCCCAGCTGTGCCACACTGCCAGACTTTCCAGCGTTGCGGGGTGATGACATTTAACTGGAGTTTGGTGTGGGAGTGAGGGAGACTTGGAATCACCAGTAAACTCCTGCCACAACCATGGCTGCTGAAGGCAAGTGCCTGTGCCAAGTTGCTCTCCAGAAGCACCTATTTTGTCAACAGAGGTTTATAACATTATCACCCGGGACAAAGAGAGCATTACCCACTTGAGGGGCTGCTGTAAAGTCGCTTGCCCTTTGCTGCTTCTACCTCTGATTTTTGGGGGAGTGGGAGGGGAAGGGAAGTTGTAAGGCGCAGTGGCAGTGGAGAGGGGAACGCAGTGAGAGGAGCCCCTGCTGGCATGGCCAGTCTGAGCCATTCAGCAAGGCTGAATACGATAAATGCTGCTTTATCCTTTCTTGAATGGAACAAGATAGCACAGCCTAAATGCCTGGGTGTGCTTAAATAGGCAACTCGGGGATGCTGGAGTTGAGGGCGTTTGAAATCGGAGCTCCCCAACAGCCAGGGAGCTGCCACAGGTCACCTGCCTCGCTCCGTGGGGACTGGCCTGGGTCTGGCAAGAAATCGTCCACGGACGAATTGTAGTACAAATTCCTTTCTCTGTTGGTTGGCCTCTTTCACTAGACCATGGCCTATAAAAAATTGTGTAAAAACAATTCTTAAATATTATTTGAAAGGGCAAACGGCCACGCTGAAAGGTTTGACAGTTTGACATATAGCGCCTGGTTCTGCTCGCCAGGGAACGGGCGTGCGGAGTCTGGGCTCTCCTTCTGCTCCTTACAGGCTCTGCATTTGCTTTTTTTTTTTAAATAGCATCTAGTTGCTGTGCAGAGTTGCTGTGCTCCCAGCAATTTGACAGGCAACGAGTCTGCTTCAGTGATCTTAAATCCTTTTAGACTAATTTGCGAGCGAGCAGAAAAACAGCTAGCACCTTCAGATCCAGCACTCAAAACCAGGGAATCAGGTATTGCCAATTAAAGTGCCATTTCCAACCATCATATCAAGACAGATTACTTGCAGTCCCTCTGATAATGTCATGCCATGCCTAAAGAGAAAGTGAGATGGAGTTTCTCCATGGACAAAAGATCTGCATGGACCAAACTGATCGGGGAGTGGGGCAGAGGGAGCACGATGGGGATCATGCACACACCCATGCATATGTGCAGCATAAAGGCGAACGCTGCGCCCGCTTTGACCCCAAATAGCCATGGGCCATTCTGAAGAGCCTGTGGCCCCTCAGTCACTGGCCTACTAGTTAATTGCCACACGGACTTCGTGACACATGGGCAGATAATATGACATTTTCGGTTTCTGTCACTAGCAAACGCCACGGCGTTGCTTGCACTAGTTGCTAAGAAGCTGTCAGAAACCATTAGCAGCTGGCTAAAGTTGCCCTATGGCATTTCCTCATGGCATCAGCAAAACAAGCATAAATCACCCAGCGGAGCCTCCCGCTATACTAATGAGGCTGTAAGCTTGTTTATGGACTAGCATCATTTCTATGATTATTTCCACCTTTTCAGTTCGCCTTCATTTGGCGGCAGGAGAAGTCAACTCCAGGAACAGAGTTGCCACCGACATTTTACAAATGCAGTTCGTAGCTGCTACCGTGTGGCTGGTCAGTGGTGCTTCAAGTTTGTTTAGTGATCTTTAAAAGGAGGAAAAGAGGGGGGGAAAAAGAAAAGGAGGGGGAAATCTCTGGAGACCTCACAGAGGTGAGTGTATCGAGTTGCAAAGTAGATGGAAATACTAAAATCCACAATTGACCATTTAGACTTCTCTCTGTGGTTTCAGTCTTTACGGGATCAATTTTCCATTTAAAAAAAGTGGAAGAGGTTAAACAATTTACAGAAGTCGACTGAAGCATTTGCTCCGAGGATAGCCGGCCGCTTTCTTATCCTCTCCCCGCTTTTCACTTTCTCTAACTTGTGTTGGTCGAGGCCAGGGTTTATTGTTTTAGGCTTTTCTGAACATACACCAGTATTTACACTGGATTGAAAGCATTTGCTTCCAATGAAAATCTTGTCTTAGATTACAGCCCAGCAGTGTAATTTCCCTCCCAGACGGGAGTAAAGTAGCAGTATTTGCCTAAAAACAGTAGGAAGAACAAACTATGCATTAAGCCAAGGCTGTTTTTGGCTTGAGCTAATGATGTAACAGAAACCTTTTATTTGGGATAGGTCACTGCCCGGGATTGAAGGAGGTGATCTGGCTCGCGCTTGAAAGGTTTCTCCATTGTATCTACATAAGTCTTCACTTAAAAAATCCTGTTCCTAATGCTTCTGCTTTCATACAGCAGAAATAAACAGGAAAGGTTCTGGGGAGTGTTATAGGTGGAATGCAGAAAGCTTTTCCTCCCCTAATGGAGGATATAATTCAGGTGCCCTGGAGGCATGCTTTCAGGAATTCTTTTGCCCGAGGTAATGGGAAGCTAAGGCTGCTTGAAGGCCTTGATTATCTATTGATGCACAAAGCTGGAAAAAAAGTCATCTCCCTTGGATTATAGTAGATATTTCCATAAATTATCAATGAGTCCTCCTCCCGTCAGGCATGAGGCAATGCCTGCTAAATTAATCTGAAGGGGGTTTGAAATGAGTATATTTTTTTTAAAAATGGGGTGGGGGGAGAGGGTGGGTGGACGATGGCAGGGAGGTGGTGAAAGGCAGTGTCATTAGGTTAGAAGCTTTTCATTTTTAATCAATGAATGCGTAATACTTTTCTTTTCCTTGTTTGCCTCTTGCAGACAGAAAGTAGATTAGCCCGTGGAATTTTAAATGCTGTTGAGTTGTTTCCTTTGCTCATGTTTCTTTTATGAATTATTATTTTATATGGTGAATTGCTTCTCTGTATAAAAGCCCTTTTTTACGTACTGGGCTTTCAAAGAATTTGTTGGATATCTAATTTCTTCATAAAAATCTCGTGTTTGTCTGTAACTATCCAAGGTTACAGTTTCATTAAAGACACAGACCAAGTCATAAGGACAATTATAAATTTGCCACGGTCAGTAACATGCTAAGAATACAACACTAATAATAGCCTTTTTTTTTTTTTTTTTTTTTTTTTGGTGCTGAAAGCTGTTTAACAAATCATGACAGTCTGCATCCCTTTTTTAAAACATATTTTATTTTTGTCCCTAACAGAGATAGTTTGTATTCAGCCAAACTGAGATTACTTTCTTCATCATCTTGCCTGGGGGTGCAAAAAACACTTCCCTAATAACATCACAACTCCATGTTGCTACAAATACAGGGTCTTTGTAAGCCAGGATATGTTGTTCAGTCCACATGCATTCAACGCAAAGACTTACTTGCTCTGTGGGCTTGTTTATAAACTGCTTTCAGTGTTTGCAACAAAAATTGCATGCAAACTGCTAGGCACTGCAACTTTTGTTTTCCCTTGGCCGCTAAGCCATCAGCCCAGACCCAAGCGGGCTGTTACACAGTGGCATCCTCCCACAGACATGTTGCTGATGTGATGAGAACTGTCTGAGACCTTCTCTGCATTAAGGAAATTCATTCTGGATCAGCGGTTGTTTCACAGAAGCAGACACCTATTACAAATACAGCACACTGGCACAAAGCAGGGTGTTAATTCCTAATGGTGTATGTCAAATTGGTGCCTGCTTATCCCCCTCTGAATTTCTTTTGGCTGGGGCTGGGAAGAGGGGACCCAGTTAGCTACCCACCTCCCATCGAAGAATTAGGGGAAGTCCAACATCTGTAAAAGACTTAACATATGCAATGCCTCAATCATCTGTTTTTGTCTGAATTTGCTGAGAGAATATGATGTTGCAAGGGAGCTGCATTCACCCCACTTTTCACACCCCAGGGCGGGATGAGGCACCCAGCTTCACACATGTCATGATCCCCATCCCAGAACACCACTGATACTTTCCTAATTGTCAGCTCAGCCAAAGTAGCTGATTGGGATGAATCTTTGGGAAGTGACCTAGTGTGAAGAAGAGACAGCATTTCCACCTTTGCAAGTCGGATGCTTGTAAATATTTTTTTGTAATTTGTAAGCACTTTTTGTTCTGGGTTACAATGGCGGAGATGGCCACACTGTCCTTCAAGATAAACCGGCGTGGGGCTAACACATTTCTGAGCTCCTCCCTCTCCCCGTGTCTTTCCCCCCCCCCCACTTCCCCCATCCCCTCAACCCCTGGTGAATTACGGTGTTAAAGAATTTATACCTCATTTAAATATTCATGCAGTTTATACCCAAAGCCAGGCTTCGGCTGAAGTATATAAAGGTAGCATAAGTCAAAATTTGATTCACTATATTTACAGGTGACGGCTTGGACAACAGTGTAGCTTCCCCCAGCACAGGTGATGATGATGATCCAGATAAGGACAAAAAGCGACATAAAAAGCGTGGCATCTTTCCCAAAGTAGCCACAAATATCATGAGGGCATGGCTGTTCCAGCATCTAACAGTAAGTGAATTCTAGATCACATATGCAAAATAAAACATGGATAATGTCATAGTTGTAGTAGTCTTAGAAAGCAAAAAATACGTATGATGTTGCTGCCAGGCAGTAGAGGGACTTTTCCGAGCAGAGTTGTTGTTGTTGCCTCATTTGCTAGATGCCAGGGGAAGAGCATAGAGCATATGTTTTTATGGTATGGGGTTTTTTCTGTGTGTGTGTGTTGTTTTTAGATTTGTTTGTTTGTTTGTTTGTTTGAGACACAGTTGTTAAGAGGACATCACTGCCAAATGTAATTTTTACTTAAAGCTTATATGAATACAACCTTGCAGACCTGTCCTGCTTTGCAGTGGGAATCACTGCTTTGGAGCACAGAACAGCATTTGGCCCCTGGTTCTGTGCTCCAGAGAATTGCAGAAAACAATTGGGGAGATTAAAAAACAAAGCCAAAGCAAACAAAGACCTTATTCAGATGTTTGTCAGAGATCATCAGAAGCTTCATGATGAAAGGTCTGAATGTATCTGGTTTAATAGCAAAGTATAATTTTTTTCTTTGAGACGTTCTCATTCCCAGAGTGTAAGTTACCCCTGTATTTAATGTTAGGGAGTGGTGGGGGTATGCACAGTTATTTCTGTTACCACAGCTACCTCTATGGGGTTTTTTATTCCTAGGATTAGAAATCAAAGCTCTGTACAGGTGTGTGGGGTTAAGCTGGATGCTGCTTTCAAGGCTTTATAAGATGCACCACACCTTCTAACATTAGCCTTTAGAAAAGTGTTTCTCCTTCTTCATCAAATTGTGGTGATCTGTCACTGTGTTTTTATCCACAGTGGGGATCTGGGCTTTGAGCCCTAGGGTTTTGCCTCAGCCTTTCTCTGCTAAGAGGATAAGGGTCAGGCAGGGGCTGCTGGAGTGTCTGCAGGTGGTGGTGAAGAAGGGCTCCTGCCTCTAACCCCAGTAGCTGACTCTTTCCACTGCCTGTAGCTAGGGTCAGGATGAAACTAGAAGCTGGCCAGCTTGCCCAGCCCTGGTGGGAGCTGTGCCAAGGGTGTACTCGTAAAGCAGAGGAAGTGCTCATGCACATCACCCCTCCATCCCCTGCTGAGCCAAGAAACCAGATATCTGCCATGACTCTTGTCAGCACGGGGATCAGGCAGGGAATCCTGTCCTGTGCGCTCCTGGGTTGCTATGAATGAACCTTCATGTTGGAGCCCTGCTCCTCAGAGGCCAGAGAGGGCCTCAGATATCTCCAGGTTAATCTGTCTCTCTGGCAGACTCCATGTCAGCCATGTCCCAGCTTTGCCAGGTCCTCAGCCCTGTCTGGTGTGTTCGGTGCCATCGCTTCCCAAAGGCTGAGGTGCCTTTGGTGTTGATGGCTCTGCCTTTGCAAGTCCTCACCCAAGATGAGTTGACACCTGGTGTCTCTCTGCAGGTAGATGTGAGGTTAAGGACATCCACCCCCCGAGCAGTCCATGGGTGCTGTGCCAGCAGCAGTGCTCACACCAGGCTGATGCACCTGGTGTAGGTTCAGGAATCGGGAGGCCCTGGAAGCTCTGCAGTCAGGACAAGGCACACTAGGAAATGCTGAACTGCTTGTCAGTTCCTGTAGTTCCCAGTGAGGAATTGCAAGTTAAGCAGTATAAATATTTTTTTCCTGAAAGTGGCCTGTTGCTGTGTTTGTGCCAGTAAATAAAGCATCACCCAAATCTAAGCACAGAAACACAAAGGTCAATCCTGGCAAACTGTTTGAGCAGTCTTCAGCACACTCTTAGCCTGGACTGGGTATGCCCCCTCCAAATGCCTTCCTGGGAATATGGCAGAAAGCTGCAGGGTGTCTCTAAAAAGCCTTTGTGATAGGAGCCACCCTGTGTAGAGCATTTAACTACATGAGCTTGACCTGACCCTGTAGCTAATTCTGTGCTTAGTCTCAGGACCAGAGAACAGACTGAACAGACCCCCTCGCTGTTTCACCTGTGTTAGGTACAGGGTTTTAGTGGCTTTTCACTCTTCTCCTGTGTGGTAAGTGTTCAAAAGAGGAGAGTGCCTGCTGAGCTTGCTCCAGGCTCCTAGCAGCCCCTGGGAGAAAATATCTGCACATCTGCTCGTAAGCTGGTCTCTGCTTCTGGAAAACTCGAATACAGAAAGAACCATTTCTTCCAGGACCTATGCAATGCTGCATTTTCTACCTTGTAACATTGAGCTAAAGCTTGCTTTGAAAATCCACCATCCCCTGTGCAGAGCCAGCCCAGCCATGTGAAACATGCAGGTTTTTTTCAGGGTAGCTTTCTCCTCTCCTGGCAGCATGGTAGATCCGGATTTATCTGATCAATTCAATAAAACAGAATTGGTTTATCCAGTCTGACCTCCAGGCAGGACCTTGAAACACACCCTGGGTAGGATCTTGGACAGTTTCCTCGAATTAGAACATGTCTGCAGAACATTGCAGGCTCTTCCAAGTGCTAGAGAACAGAACATGTTCACAGGCTGCTTGGAGTGCAAAAAACCACCAAAACATACCCAGGCCCAAAAAATGGCTGTGATAAGAGCTGAGGAGTAGTGGGTGGAGACACTGAAGGAGAGACTGAAAACTCCTGTTCATTTTTGAGGGCATCTGGGCTTCATGGCTGCTCTTATAACATTGCACAATGGTATTGGTGTTGTTCCCACCCAATGTCCTTGCTGCAGCGGGGAGATCATCCTGAGGAAACCACAGATCCCATACAGTTTGTTTATTTATTTATTTACCCATTTGTTTATCAGTGGATTTGGTCTTTTGTAGGATGAACACAAGGTCCTCCCTAAAGTGGGAGGTGAGGAAAGACAGAGGGATGGTTCTGTTCAGGCAGGGGATGTCATGACTGGTGATACCTCCCTTTTTCCCCCAGCACTTTACCTGCCTTCACTTTGCCATCTGAAAAATGGCAGAGAACAAATGAGCAGCAGTTAAGTGCAAAAACACAGCATCCCACTGACCATTGGTGCTTCCTAACTGGGGTGTTAGTTGGGAGTCCTCCTTTTCAAAAAGCAAATTTTTTTTCACAATTGTAATATTAATACACATCAGTGGCATGGAATTAAATAAAATAGACAGTAATTGCTGTGTCTGTCATACTGATGATTATTGGTTGGAAAGACCTAAAATAAATATTGGACAAATATAGTCTTTCAAAAGTGGATAGGTTGGGTTAATTCCTTCTATGGAGTTATTCCATCTCCAAGAGCTGTAAGTCTTCCTCTGTGTACTGACTTCATTTCCGAAGGTTTGTCCCCTAGTTCTTGTTTCATGCTCAGGAGGAAATTAATTTTTTTCTCTCCGGATGCTGAAGTGTTTGGGCAGTAGTTCCCACTCAGTATCAGGCTCCAGCCAAGCACCCCCCCAGTATTTTGACTGGTGTGCAGAACTGAGTTGACATATGCCCAAAGGGTAGGCAAGCACTGTCCTCTGCAGATGCAGGCAGTGTGCTCTGAAGCTTTTTGAGGGGTAAATCAGGGAATAAATTCGTCCAAATTGCCTTTTTTTTTTTCCCCTCTTGGAATAATATCAACAGAAACAGCTAAAGCAACTGCAAAACTGTTGACCAGACTCACACTTAGGACTTTGTAGGAATTTTTTTTTTAACTGTTTGCTGTTCTGATTTAATTTTGCTTAAACATCTGGGTTGGAAGAGCTGCCCAGTAATGTTTTGCAGGCCTTTTAGACTTCTGAATTTTTTTGTTTAACTTTTTTTTTGATCAGTTAACCCCTATTCAGAGTTCATCTCTCCCCCAAATTTTTCAAGCATATCTCCTCACTGTAATGTACATCCCTCAGCAGGGATTGTGAAATAAAGGAAAAACTTGGGGGAAGGGGAGGGGAATTAAAAAATAATCTTGTTTACAGTTAAAGCTGTGTAAATTTAATCATGGCAACAGAGTTAGTTTCTGCTTCAGCCCATCCTAGGTTTTTGTCCCAGCAATGGTATTATTGGTATAAATTGGTAATTGGAATTGATATAAATACCTCTTTGTTCAAAACTTGGAGAAGGGAGTTTGTGGGGTGTCTTTTCAAGCGGTTTTTTCACTCATTGTGACTACTCGGCATCCTTTAAATCCAGCTTAATTTAAAATGTTGGGATTCAAACCTCATTTTGGGGATTATACAATGTAATTGGTTTGTTATATGATGAGTATTTGATGATCTTCACATTCATCATCTAATCAGGCAAAAAAAGCCATAAAATTATAATCCCAAAAGATGTTTAATAACAATTTAAACTATTGAAGGCTTTATTTAAGCACATTAGGGGATTATAAACTACTCCCTTTTAATGGTGCCAAGAGGTAGATTTGAGGACTTCAAACACCTTTTAAAAAACAAATTGCCATGATTTAAAAAAAAATGAATGGGCTGAGGATTTCTTTCATGTAAATCCCATAATTTAATCATTATTTTTAACTGCTTTTAAAACAATTTCCTTAAGAGGTTAAATCTTACTGAAAGGGGAGACTTGAGCAGAAAGTAAAAGACATGGCTGAAAGATGTTGACTTTAAGTGAAAGGATTTTTTCTGTTATATATCTGTATTTTTAACCTTTATTGATTACTTGATGCCATGATATGAAACAAGAAAATTTAAAATAAGCAATATGCAATCTATTTAGTAAAGCTTTTATATGTAAAAGAATTTACTGGAAGTAGATAATTTGAATCTAGCAGAGAAAAATAGTCCCCATCGCTTCAAGGATGTTGTCGTGATAGAAAATTTATGCCATTTGGTTCTGTCTTTAGTTCCATTTTCTTTTTATATTAATATTTTACCAGTTAAAATAGAGTCAAAAAAGTCTTTAAAGTCAAAACAAGTCGATTTCATGTCTTTTCCCATCCCTCCATAGTTATGAGATTTTGCCTTGGTAGAAGCGTGGGGTTAATTTGGCTGCCTGCCCCTACTCCCATGTGGGATGCTTGACTGGTTTTGGAAAGGAGTATAGTGAAAGGGTAGATGGGTCCAAAACTAGGGTGCTGAAAACAT